TTGGCGAGGAATTCTCACAAATTCGATTCCACTTCTTTTGGGAACGTGACCCTTGTTTGCAAGGATAATGTTCAAAGACTTGCTACCAACCTCAAATTTCTTCAAGGTGTCCTTAAGTAGCAAGTTTTCCTTTTGGAGAGTTTCTAGATCATGACATTTTTCACATTGAGCTAAACTATCGTGATATTCAGTTTTTAATTTATCAAAATTGCTAACAAGATTATCATACTTATTTTTTAACAATTTATATTTTCTACAAATTATTTTACATTCATCAAATAAGTTATGGGAGGCATTTAATAATTCATCAAATGATAAATCTACATCAATTAAATTTGTTACGTCTTCTCTGATTGCTATTAAGGCATAATGAGCAACTTGCTAGGTGTTGGACTCCTCTTCTTCGAACGCGCTCGAGTCATCCCATGTTGCTTTGAGCGCTTTTTTCTTTGATGTTCTCTTCTTGGCTTGGAGACAATTACTTTTGTAGTGTCCCGGCTTTTTGTACTCGTAGCAAATAACTTGGTCCTTTTTGTGTTCAAGTTTATTTTTTATGTCACTTTTAAACTTGTTTCTCTTAATGAATTTTTTAAATTTCCTTGTTAGAAGTGCCAAGTCATCGTCACAGTCCTCATCACTTGAGTTTTCTCTCAAGTGGTCATCTAAAGTTCTAAGTGTCATATCCTTCCTGTTCTTTGGAAGGATGTCTTCTTGCTCTTCATGAGCCTTGCAAGTCATTTCATAGGTCATTAATGACCCAATTAGTTCTTCAAGAGGGGGGTTGTTTAAATCTTTAGCCTCTTGAATAGCGGTGACTTTAGGGTCCCAACTTTTAGGAAGGGATCTTAGAATCTTATTTATGAGCTTAAAATCTGAAAAACTTTTGCTGAGTCCTTTTAGACCATTGACGATATCCGTGAATCGGGTGTACATGTCGCCAATAGTTTGGCTCGGTTTCATTCGAAAAAGTTTAAAAGAATGTATCAAATGATTGATTTTCGACTCTTTTACTCTACTTGTGCCTTCGTGAGTCACTTCGAGTATATGCCAAAAATCAAACGCGGTTTCACAAACCGAAACACGATTGAACTCATTTTTATCAAGCGCACAAAATAAGGCATTCATAGCCTTTGGTTTAAGAGCGAAAGTCTTCTTCTCCAATTTATTCCAATCGATCATTGGAAGAGAAGACTTCGAAAATCCATTTTTGACAATATTCCAAAGTTCAAAATCCATTGAAATAAGGAAGATCCTCATTCGGGTCTTCCAATAGGTGTAGTCCATCCCATTGAACATGGGTGGACATGTAATAGAGTAGCCCTCTTGGTTTCCGACGTATGCCATCTCTCTTGGGTTTTAATCCGTTTGAGAGTTAACCCCGCTCTAATACCAATTGTTAGGATCAAGAGCACTAAGAGGGAGGGGGGGTGAATTAGTGTAGCGGAAAACTTTCGACGATTAAAACTGCGTTCGTACGTTAAAATCCGATTCTGACGTAAAAGTCGTTTTGTGCAGATAATAACTTGAAAGCTTAAGGAAACGTATTTGAAGTAAAGTAAGGAAGGTAGTTTGCAGTTAAGATAGAAAACAGAATGTAAGCGCAAACTAAAATATGGTGTTCGTACAATAAAATCGATTTCTGTCTTAACGCCGATTCAGAAAATACTTAACTAAGAAACACGTTTGTAAATGAGCAGAAGGTAGTAAGCTACTGAGGAGGTTTGTAGTAAAGATAAGATGCTCAAAGTAAATGCAAACCGAGATTTAGAGTGGTTCGGTCAATCTTGACCTACATCCACTTTTGGCTTCCTTCACCAACGAGGTCACCGACGTCCACTAGAGACCTTCCTTCAATAGGCGAAGGCCAACCACCCTTTTACAGTTTCACTCCTTTTGACGGGCTTAGGAGACAACCCTTACAAACTTTTCTCTCCTCTCTTGAAAGATCAAAACCTGGAAGAAAAGAGAGAGGAGAACTTCTAGATTTTACAACACTTTTGAGCTCTAAAATCACAGAGTAAGATCAAGCTTTCAGTGCCCTTTCATGCACTAAAGGGTGGGGTATATATAGGGCCCAAACTAGTTTGAATTTGGAGCTCAAAAATATCTTTTTTTGGATTTTCAGGGTCCTGGCGGTACCACCTCCTGACTGGGGTGGTACAACCGCCTGACAGCTTGGAGTCTGAGCCTCTAGGTGGTGCCACCGCCTAGTTTCGCTCGGATACTAAGCCCTAGCAATGCCACCGCCTGACTAGGGCGGTTGCACTACCTGGCAGAGCTCGGAGATCAAGCTCAGGCGGTTCCACCGCTTGTTAGGGGCGGTTGCACTACCCAGTCTCGCTCGGAGACTGAGCTCAGGCGGTGCCACCGCTTGCCTAGGGCGGTTGCACCGCCCAACTTTCCTAGGAGACCCTCTCCTGGGCGGTGCCACAACCGACCCTGGCGGTGCCACCGCCTAGTAGGAATTCTGGTCCGAATGGGTTGATCCATTCGGCCCAATTTGGGTCTATCAAGGGCCCAATTGTCCCAAGATTAAGTTAATGAGATCACCTCCCATTCCTAACTTAATCTACTTGCTAACTGTGATATTTCTTAAGACATTTACTACAACTTGCTCCGGTGTGTCAATCGCTTCTTCCGGCGAACTTCCGGCGAACATCCGACGAACCTTCGGCGATGCTCCGACGGACTTCCGGCAAACTCCTGGACTTGCGACGATCCACTTGACGAGTTCCGATGAGCTTCTTTTGGCAAGCTCTTGGACTTCTCGGATTTGTTCCCGCAGAACCTCCGACGACCATCCGGACTTCCATCGAACTCTCAAACTCCCAGCGTGATCATAGTCTTGACTCCGGCGTAACTCCTGCTGCATGTCTTACTTTCATCGTAGTTAATCCTGCACACTTATCTCAACATATGGATTAGATATCAAATGACAATTAACTTCATCATCAAAATCCAATATTCAACACATAAGTGTTTTTAAGTTAAACATATTTTCGATCGGTTTTAATCATGAAGATTTTTCAAACTGACATTTTTACTACTACACTAATTCACCCCCCCCTCTTAGTGCCGACTAGTTCCTAACAATATGAAATACTTCAACTAAAATTAATTTTAATAGGCCCTTTAAGTCTCTATAAGCTAGTATAAATCTTTACCCATCCGAAATTTAAGGTGACATCATCATGTAATATGTTAACCTCATTCATTAGTAACCGTTTCTTATTAAAACCCTTCCGATTTGTTAATTGAACTATTAGTCTATTGATATTGAGTTACTTATCTAGAATGTCTATGCCAAAATGTATTGTTGGTAGGTCATATAAGTCGCTATAAGGTAGTTTAAATCTTTGCCCATTGTTAATTCGAGTGATGTCAATATATCACTATAGTCTTTTCTTACTAAAACCCTTCTTCAATTGGTTAATTGAACTATTATTAATCTATCGAGATCAAGCCATTGATCTAAGATGTCTAGGTCAAAGTTAATGTTAGTAGGTCTTCTAAGTCGCTATAAGCTAGTTTAAAAGGACACTTGGAACACATGAGCATTGAAGGTCCAAGACACATTTCAAATATAAATTGGTGTTTGATAATTTTTTTAGGATCACATTTGACTTGAATACTATATTATAAATGCTCAAATTCCAATACTATCTTAACATAGCTTTGCCATTTCATTATTTGTTTGATGCTAATAATTTTTTTTACAATTTTTAAAGTATTACATGATATTCTCTATAATCACAAGATTATCCAAAGCATCGTATTGTAATCACAAGATTATATTCATTTATTTTTATAATTTATTATATATATTTTTATTTATTAAATTAAATAAAAAATAAGTATACATTTTTGAACAAATATTAAAAATTTTAGAGGGGTAAATTTATTAAATAATATTCAATGAACTTCTGAAAAACATAATTTTACCAAATAACACTTATGTAAATGTATATTTAAAATATAATTTTCATCTATTATTTAAACACTCATATTACACGTATATTCACTCAAATTATTTTCTCTAAATATATATTTAAAATATAAAAATATATTCTAAAGACAAAATAAATCTTTGTCCTTTTGAACTTCCAATGTTACAGTAAAATAAAATGTTTTATATCACTTCTCGAACTCCTCCCCTAAACTTGAATTTAAAGAGCACTCGAATGAAGGTCATTAATTATAATAACACATTAGTATGTATGCTAGACTTCAAAGAAAAAACCTGTTTTGGAGGGACATTCATGTAATTTTACCAAAAGAGGATAAAAATTTTAGGAGTTTACTATTCACAACACCTCTATTATTCATAAACCTTTAAAAAATTTAATAAAATATTTTTTTATATTTATAACCTTTCTAATTTTATTTTTATCCGTATCTTTTTTTTTGTCTTCTCTACTATTTTTGTTTGTGTATCCTATTATTGTTACTAATCACCACTTCTAGCTTACTCATCATTTTTTTTTTTTTGTTATGGATTGTCCCTCCCAAGCTGCCCCTATGAACCATGCCCCATTGTGTACACTATAGACTTTCCTCATCATTCGCTATTATCAACTTGTGCTTCACACTCTCCTTTCATTACTTTGATGTCATCAACATCGATTTTGCTGACTACGGATGTCATTAGAAGAAGATAAGAAAAAAATGAGAAAAAAAATTATAGGTAAATAATAATTTTTTATTAAAAAAATTATAAATTAAGAATATATATTTGTTTAAATAATAACTTATAAATATTTAAACTTTTTAACATAAAATTATAAATAAAATAGTAATCTCCAAAATTTGGGCTTCGTTCCCTATGAACAACATAATTATAACTAACAGAAGTCTGATGTTATTCAAAGCAGTTCAATCTGCTGTCATTTGCATAATTGAACGCCCTTCACAAGAAAGCGGCCCAGAAATTGGCTCGGCCCAAGACCACGTTCTTAAACGGAGGACTGTAGTCGTACCTTTGCCCAAATCCATAGTAGGAGTCGTCTCCTCTCTCTCCTCCCCTGCTCCCCAACGCCTCCCCCGCTGTTCCTCCGATCAGATCGAGCAGATCGACGCCCCCTGTGAGAAATTTCAAGCGCCGGAACTCCAAATCCTGCATCAGCTCACTTCTCCTCGTGCCTCCCGCGAGTGAGTCTGTTCGTCCCTGTCGCCTCTTGGTCGGGTCCCTCCCCCGCCCGGCTCCCATAGATGGGATCTTTGGTCCCTGGAGTCGGCTTGGGACTTTCGCTTTGATGCAATACGATGCAGCTTACTTTTCGAGGATCTGATCTCTGAGGGTGCTTCCTTCGGCCCGCGTGTGCTGTCTCGGCGAGATGGCCTCTTCGCCGGTGAAATTCTTCGCAGTTCTTCTGGTCGTCTCTGCTGTCGGATGGGTCATCTTTGTGTAAGATTTACGAGAACCTGTTTATATTTTGAATTTTGTTTCGTGATCTTCTGTAATCTTACGTTCTTGAGACTTAAGCTCGTTTATTTAGTTGTCGTTTTAATTATTTGGTTTTTTGTATTGTCTCTTTATATGTGGTTTCTGAACACAATTTCCTAAACTATTATTTACAATTTTCGCCGATAATTACCTCGTTTTAAAAAGGATATGGATAACACCAACCATGTCAAGCTTTGAAAAACTGGGAAGGACCAATTTTTGCATGGCAATATACGTGGGTGACCTGTGCAATTAGCAAAGAGTGCTAAATGATAATTTTTCATTATTTTAGTTTCTAATTAAGCATCGAGCATGTGTCGTGCATGAAAATCTAAAAGCTGATTGAGGTGCTTGAACCTGAAGAATATAAGTTAATGCGCTTCTGATGATAAACATTCTTTAACAACAAGATCATCACCAAGTGCCATTAACTAAAAGTAGGATTCAAATTTTCTTCCAGGTGCATAAAAATGAGGGAAAAGGAAGTACAGAGTGCAGATTCATTCAAGATATACAGAAATTTATACGTAATTAGGGTTAAGAAGAAACTCTGTTGATGATATAAATCATTCTGAGGCTAAGTCCAGGGTTGAGGTTTAAGATTTGGTTCTATTCTTGTTGATTGGTGGGGACATCAATACTGGAGATGTTATTGTTTGATAGATCAACTTGGGACAGACGAGAGAAGCTTGATAGTAGTTTATAGATAATGCAACTACACAACAAGCTGTACTGTCCCAACTATTTGGGAAGTAAAAATAAAAAAGACATTGGATCGTAAAAAAGATGGCCTAATGTGTGAAGCTACTGAACAGTCAGTGTTTGTAGATGTTCAATATGCATAAGCTTAATCTTGTAAAGAGAGAAAAGAGAGAAAGAGAAAGGCTGTTTTCATTATTTGAACCCTTGATACTGAGGTTGCAAGGGATTAACCTTTCCCCCTCCTGTATGCAATCAGGCAATGGAAACCATAAACTGTAACTTGGTCTTAGAGAAGGTGGTTATGGTAGGTGAATGGTCATTGGTGCTAGAGACAATTGGTATAAGGTCGTAATGGAGATTTTTGATTTTCTTGATCTTTATTTTGATCAAGTTTGTACGTGACTGATGTTTGATTATTTGACTTATTTTGACTGATCTCTATTCTATGACTTTTAAATGACCAAAATGAGCCACTAATGTTTCCATATGTTCTTGAGATGTGGATTCCATTGAAGGCTAACCCCAAACCCTGATATATTTTTCTTCAAGATTGGCCATGGTAGATGGTAGTACAATGGTGTTCTAGTAGTGACTGGTAGTAGAAGCGAAGACATACATGGTCAAATAATAATACCACACATACCTTTTTATTTTTCTTTCTCAGACATCATTTTCCTATTGCTCCATTCTAGCTCCTATTTCTCCCTTTTCTTCTTTTATTCCCCCTTCGCCAGTGATTTAATTCTTTTAGTTATGGACGAGTATTTCTCAACTTTTTCCTCTTCCCTCTCTTCTCCACATATCTTCTGTTCTTTAGGCTTCAAAAATTTGGAATCAGTAGGAGCTCTTGAGATTATCTCAAAAAATAATTTAGCTTCCAATGAGGAATTGACTATCGTTGGGTAGTTGAAGATCTAGTTAGTGGTTACTCCCTTCTCAAGGAACCATTTATGAAAATTCTGCATCATATGACTCTATGTTGAGCTTTTGTTGTTTGTTATTGTCATTTGGCCACTATGATATGCTATTCAACCTCACTTGTCAGATATTGAACTTCCTACTTGCTGATCAATAAAACATCTGCCTTTTTCACATACTTTAAGCATAGAAGGGCGAAGATGGAAATCCAACATAAACAATAAATTACTTATTGAGAGTTTGAGACCCTTACTAGTAAGTTGACTTGGACCAGAAACTGTTAAAGATGAGGTCCAACACATCGGGCAAGTTGAGTATTGAGATTCAGCACTTGATTGACATCTTTCTTTGAATCTGAAACCTCCATTGGTAGAAAAGAAACACTAGAGAGAAAAGATAATAGTCATATTAATATATGACGAAAAGGAGATCAGTTCATGGTTGAGCTTTATACTGAAAAAGAACAAGAAGAGTAGGAAAGAAGCATGGACCAGCCAGTTCAAGAAGCACCGTGAAAAGAACAGGATAGAGAAAAAAAAGGGATTCTGTTTAAAAAACGGATCATTCAAGGAAGGAACTTATTCATCATTGAGTCATTAGGCTTGAGACTTATAGTCTATCTCTTTTCCCACTTAGGTTGTGGGTTTGTTGGGTTAAACAAACACTCAAAACTAAATTGGATATCTGTGCACATATTCGTCCACTTGGGCGACATGAGGAACATACTTGATTACTGGGAATGTTAAATCTATGGCCTCCTCCATCATCATTGGTAGATGGACGACAATTCACCTCCTTGTCACTGAAATTTGATGGAGAAATGTGATCATACTTGAATTATTGTTTACTGATGACATCTAATGGCTTAACTGAGTGCGATGAGCAAACTTTCCCCTTGTTACACTATTAGATAACTGAGATTGACTTGCTGCACCACAACCCATGAAAAATTGACTTTCTGTAGCCTGATCACAACTTATTATCGGACCCTTCTCATAACTATTTTTTTTTAAAGGAAGGCATTTTGTTCATTTGCAAAAGGTAGAGACACTCTGCTGGCATTATAGAAATAGAGCACACTATCCGAGAAAAGCCCAATATGTGGGGCTTTTTACAAGAAAATCACCTTTATTGTCATCCTCTAATTGTGCTGGTCATCCCTATTAAATAGGGGCTTGTTCGTTCCATTGGGCCTCGGTTCCTTGTAGTGCCAAGCAGGGAAATTTATTATTTAGCTTAGGTCTCATTTCTTTTCTGTCCACATATTTCTTCATTTTTCTAGCCGCCTTCTTCAAATCTTAGAATACATGTTCTTAACCCCACGGATCAAGCAAACTACAAATGGTTGTGACAAACAAAAATTGATTCTCTATATTGGTCTTGGAAAAATAATTTCAAAATATAATATTCTTTGTTAATTGCCTAAGTGCCTTAGGTTTTTTGTCAATTATTGCAAAATGTTATCTTATACTAAAAGGTGATATAGGACAAGTGCATGGAGGGTAAATAAAAAATATTTTTTAGCCATTCAATAGTTGTAGAATAAAAGATAAAAGATTTTACATAAAATAGATAAGAAAGATAATTTGTAGACTCACTATGGTTTAAGGATTAACTCCTAGGAATGATGATCTCACTCTTTAACATGTCGTATGCTGACGATGGAACTAGATTGTTGAAAAAGGGAATGCGGTCTGACACCATTTACACATACATAACATGGGAAAAAACTATTCGTTCATTAATCTATTGACGTTCCAATCACAATTTCCCTCCTTTCCTAGCCCTTTAGGTACAAGAAAAAAATAAAAACTATAAAATAGGAAGAATACAAAAATTGCTAACCTATATGTGTCAGGCTAGCCTATATGGGTGAATACAAAATTATAATGAATAATTAACACAATTCATAAACTTTTAAGTTTTAACATAATACATTAAGAATCAAGAGCAAGGCTAGCCTATACGGGTTAGTATGTAGAGGTGATTGAGAGGAGAGGTGCAACAGCTGAGTCCAAGGGCAATGCTAAGGAGTGGTGTTGTCATGTCGAGAGGGGAGGCAGTACTAGGAGTGTGATGGGGCTAAGAGCAAGGGCGAAAGGGAAGGTGGTGAGGGGTTGAGAGTAGGGAAAGGTGGGAGAAGGGGGTGGTGGGTGGGTGGTAGGAAAAGATGAGGGGGACTTGGGGAGTGAGGATGGGGGAGGTAGGAGGAGGGGGACTAAGAGTAGGAGTAGGCGGGAGAAGGGGGACAAGGTTGAGAACTGTTGGGAAATCTTGGGGGCGACATCATATGTGCAACAGAAGAACATAAAAACAAAATCCCCAAATTTCCAAAAGTGTGTTAATCGTCGTGCAAAGATTGATGCACAAAAATCCGCGAAACATAAAACTGCATATAAGATAGATTGTGTTACTTAGGGAGATCGTATATCCCTAAATTCCTGTAGATCTCTAGGAGAGGGTGAAGGAGGTCAAGCGCCCTCCTCTCTAGCGGTGATCCACACAGTAGGGCTGCGACGATGCTCCTCAAAACTCCAAGCTTGCTCTGAGGAGGAGAGAGAGAGGAGAATAGGAGAGATAACCAAAAAAGCTCTAACCTATGAACCACTAGTTCTCTCTTATTTATAGAGGTCCCCTATCAACTTAACTCTAATGGATCCTGCCCTATTGGGTATTGGATCTCTATCCAACTACCAAAGCTTCTTAGATTAGTGGATCTCTATCCAATAATATCTTATGGGCTCTTATTGGATCTCATCCATATGATCCAATAATTCAGGGGCTTATTGGATATCCAATAAGAAAGGGGTTTCGGCGGATATCTCATATCCGAACCTTTATTTATCGCAACGCCTACCATATGTGTGTGACCCTCTAGGCTCAACATCGAGCTGACCGTGAGTCATACATATCAGAATTCCTTCTAGCTCAGTGAATTATTATCTCCAAAATAATTCACTCGACTCATCGACTGCGGGCGTACAAGGCCACTACGCCACAGTCCCCAGATGATACAAGGGAATCCAATCCTTTGGACTTGTCTGTCCTTAGTTATCGTATACCTCTAGTCCCTCATCCATATAATATCTCAGAGACCGTATACCGAGTATGGTGTTGTCAGAACCATACGGTTTCTAATTGAGTCTCGCTCTAATCGGATTCTCCCGGAGAACTCTTTCTCTCTTAATCCGAATGATCTTGGCCAGGGATTTGTTTGAGCAAGAACACATGAGATATTCCTCTCATGACACCGAGAGTGGATGATCCTCTATCGATACTCAATAGTCCTCGTAAGGTTGACTACCACTCTCGATGACCGGTTGTGCTAGATCTGGAACCTC